AAGGGTTCGGTTTGGTAAGATGAAGTAGCTGGCCAGAATAAACCTCATAAGTCAGGCACAAGTCAAGAGGCAGTAGAAACCAGCACCACAAGAAAAATGTTGTGCTGAATACCAGCAACATCTCCTGGCTACAGCCAGACCCCTAGAACTGGTCAAATAGTAAAAACAAAGATCTGTTAACATTTTCCCACAAATAAAAGTGCAGTCTGAGGTGTGTGATGATTTGCAATCAAATGTTCAGACAGTTGCTGCCTAGTTGTAAAAATATTTGAATCCTGAATATTCATTGATCTGAGCAGGAATGGTTATTTGGAAGAAGATTTATACCTGAAACTAATTATTGGTTGGTCTCTTGTTTAAAATATTTGTTATCCAATCAAGGGAGCTGAAACAATACCATGTGACATGGTGATGAAACACACACCGTGAAGAGTAAACAGCTCACAGACAACCCAGGAGCTAAAAATTATTCATCCAAATTATTACGTGGTGAATTAACACATTACAAAATTTAGCCCCCTTTTTTGTTAATGAATTCTTCATAAGCTGATCCTGATCTTTTGTCCTCCTCAGACAAACAAGTTTGGATATAATTTTCAGGAGATAATGCTGCCCACTTCTTGTTTACAATGTCACCTGAAAGTGAGAACGGGTGTTTGCATGGCACTGTTGTAACAAGCATCGCAAGATATTTACATGCTAGATGCGCTAAAGATTCATATGTCCCTTCATGCTTCAACCACCATTCCAGAAGACATGCATCCATGCTAATGACGGGTTCTGCTCGATAACAATCCAAAGCAGAGCAGACTGATGCATGTTCATTTTCATCATCTGAGTCAGGTGCCACTAGCAGAAGGTTGATTTTCTTTTTTTGGTGGTTTGGGTTCTGTAGTTTCCGCATCGGAGTGTTGCTCTTTTAAGACGTATGAAAGCATTCTCCACGCCTCGTCCCTCTCAGATTTTGGAAGCCACTTCAGAGTCTTAAACCTTGGGTCGAGTGCTGTATCTGTCCTTAGAAATCTCACATTGGTACCTTCTTTGCATTTCCGAGACTGCTATAACATGAAATATATGGCAGAATATGGGTAAAACAGAACAGGAGACATGCAATTCTCCCCCAAGGCGTTCAGTCACAAATTTAATTAACACATTATTTTTTTTAACAAGCATCATGAGCATGGAAGCATGTCCTCTGGAATGGTGGCCGAAGCACGAAGGGACATACGAGTGTTTAGCATATCTGGCACATAAATACCTTGCAACACCGGCTACAAAAGTGCCATGCAAACGCCTGTTCTCACTTTCAGGTGACATTGTAAATAAGAAGCAGTCAGCAGTATCTTCCATAAATGTAAACAGACTTGTTTGTCTTAGCAATGGCTGAATAGGAAGTAGGACTGAGTGGACTTGTGGGCTCTAAAGTTTTACATTGGTTTTGTTTTTGAATGCAGTTATGTAACAAAAAAAAAATCTACATTTGTAAGTTACACTTTCACGATAAAGAGACTGCACTTCAGTACTTGTAGGAGGTGAATTGAAAAATACTATTTATCATTTTTATAGTGCAAATATTTGTAATAAAGAATAATATAAAGTGAGCACTGTATACTTTGTATTCTGTGTTGTAATAAAATCAATATATTTGAAAATGTAGAAAAACATCCAAAAATATTGAATAAATTTCAATTGGTTTTCTATTGCTTAACAGTGCGATTAATTTTTTTGAGTTAATTATGTGAGTTAACTGCGATTAATCAACAGCCCTAATAACAAGCAACAATTCACAGGTAGAGTATAATATAACTAATGAAGCCTCACACCACCCAGGTATCAACGATGGATGATTGTTTGTATGACAGTAGTGCCAGAGGATTGGGGCCCCATTCAACTAAGCATCGTACAAACACATAGTCTCTGTCCCACTGAGCTTACCCTCTTCATGGACAAGTCAAACACAGGGTAGGAAATAGGAGCTATTGTTGTCCTCGTATTACAGATGGGGAACTGAGGCATGAGAAATTGAGTGACTAGGCCAAGGTCACACACACTGGCACAGTTGGGATCAGAAATCAATACTTGTTGACTCCTGGTTCTGTGTCTTAACCACAAAAGCTGTCCTCCTCCTCCATCATACCTTACTTGGTGTCAGGGCTCAGGGTTAGTAGCAACACTGGTACCAATTGTATTCTTACACAATGCAGGAATAGGTGTAGTGACTGTCACATGACTGATAATGGCCATGGCCCAGGCACCATGTATCAGAAGAAACTGAGGCTACGTCTTCACTACCCACCGATCCGGCGGGTAGCAATCGGTTTATCGGGGATCGACTTACCGCGTCTCGTGAGGACGCGGTAAAATCGATCCCTGATCGCTCTGCCGTCGACTCCGGAAATCCACCTCGACAAGAGGCGGCAGCGGAGTCGGCGGCAGCGCGGCAGCGGTCGGCTTTCCCCCGTCCTCACCACCAGGTAAGCCGACCTAAAATACGCAACTTCAGCTACGGTATTCACGTAGCTGAAGTTGCGTATCTTAGGTCGGAACCCCGCTGTAGTGTAGACCTAGCCTCTATGAAACATGACAATACATACAGCTGCCTGTGGCTTAGGCAAAGCATTCTAGCCTTCCCCTGACATCCACAGATCTCAGGGAGTAATGCCATGCTGCTGGTTTCATGCATAGATATTGTTAATCATTGTTTTCCCTGTCAGGCATAAAGGACTGTGGAATGGTGAAAGTCTGATGTTAGCCAATAGTGCTGGGGGTGGGGTGCTGGCTTTTGTATTACTGGGGGCCCCATGTTTATGTGTGGGCTACAGTCATGGGCACCTTCTCTGTTGTATGTGTGCCTGGCGTTGTGTAAATGAGAGCTGCTCCCAGATCCCTCTCTCCCTCTTATTGCTCCAGTTATTCAGATGAGCTGCCTTCCCTGTGTCAGGAACAGCCCAGCTTATCTGTTGCACAGGTGGCTGTTGCTTGTTCTGGGGTGAACCAGATGGCTAGTTTGTGGCGGGCCTCCTTTCTCGGGATAAACTCGGTGCTTGTCTGATTTCCTAAGGGCAATATTTTCTCTACATGCTTTAGTGATAGCCTCCAGCAACCCCCTCTCTCTGCCCCATGGAGGCTACAGGCCAGGTCTGTACTGCTGACTCTGCAGCGTGGGTTGGGTTATTTGTGGAGAGCTGGAGTTGTGAGCAGTGGTAGTTGGCTTTGGGAGCTGGGTGTGCTTGTAGCAGCTAGAGTTCATAAGTACTGAACATGTGTGATACTTTGCATTCTCCTAGGCTGGCTAGGCAGCCCTCTGCTATTCATTCATTCTTTCTGTAGGTACCTTTTTTCCTGACTTACCTCTCCTTCCTTGCCTAGCTCCTCACCTCTCTGCATCCCTTTCCTGTCTTAACTTTCTTCATGTATACATCTGCTGCTGTGATGGGCCTGGGGTCAGAGCAGTTACATGGTTCTGGAACAGATTCAGAATGCTCCCTGTCCTACTTTGTGTTGCCAGTCTGCATAGTCACTTTTGACATAGGCAATTTGCACTTGTGTAAGTGCTTAAGTCTTCAAACTAAAAGCTGCTGCTTCAAAACACAGCACAAGTCAAATGATGAAAGAATATACCAGGGTGATGAGTTTACAACCGAGTAAAGACAGCTTCCCTTTATAAAACAGTACCTCATTCCACAGTAATGCTTGTTACTCTTTTGTGTGCTGCAGAGTTTGAGGACTTTGCTCTACAATACTTCATAATTCTTTCAGAGGTAGCCTCTGAAAGCCTCAACAGGTAAATCTTAGGGGAGATACATTCACCTTTCCCTGCTGTGGTTGTGCCTGACAAATATAGAGGCAATTTTAGGCTGTGAAAAACATTGTGTCTGTACATAATTTTGTGTCTTACACAAAATGCAAAGCCATCATTCTGTTCTGTGGTTGTGGAACATGCCTAGCCCAGTCTGCTTTGGCCAAAGTCAAATACCAACATGTGAGGCAGCACATATTTTTAGCCTAAAATTATTTGCCACCCCTCACAAGTTGTTGTTTGACTTTGGTTAAAAAGATGACTGGGTGGATTCCGCAACCACAAAACAAAGCATGCAGTTTCAAATGAATACCCAGGACACAAAGCTAGGACTGACTCTGCCTATATAATTTTCTTGGCTATATTTAACCTCTCAGATGTGTTTGGCAGATACTTTAAATTTAAGATTTACAATCAATATCTTATGATCTGAAGGTGAGCTCCTGGTATCCCTCAGTCTTCTGACTGAAATATACAAGGTACAAAGTCAAGTCAATAAATTTAGAGGCTCCAGTGGTGATCTCTGTTCAATCAGCGTGTGTGAAATTAATAAAGCTGGTCTGTCTGTATTTATTTTGGACAGGGTTTGTCTGTGGGTTTATTGTGATTTTTTGATTTTTTTGCTTTAAACAATCTGGAAACCTCCCCCGCCCCAATTCAGAAGAATAAATATGCATGGCTTGTAATTCTGTTGCAGTTCTTGCGCCCAGCTGATAGGGTGACGTGCAGTTTGGAGGCTTGGAGATTGGCTTTTTGATTTGGCTTCTTGCTGCAGTTGTGCAAACCTCGTTGTCTCTCAGAAGTCCGGCTCAGCGGCTTGCCTGATGCTGTGATGCTGGAAAGTCTCAGCTGAGCCCCGATGCTGTGAGAGAGAAGGGGGAAGCCCGGCAGATTCGATTGCAATTGGGGCACAATCCAATTTTTCCTCTTCAATCCCTATTCATCCTCCTCTTTCTCCTCCTCCTCCTTCTTCCCCTGCCCACATCTCCCCGCCCCAAACTATTGCATACCCCAGGAGATCAAGGCTGGTGGATTTATCAACATTCAACCACCCCTCCCTGCCCCCCGCCCCCGATTTCCCGATGCACTTCCCCACTCACCCTGACAGCTGCAAAAGAGAGCAGAGGTTTTTTAGCAAGCGAGGCAAGTTGGACTGACATGCAAAGGAGGACCCCGCGCCCCTCCCCAGTCACTGATTAACCACCAGATGCAATGAGCTCTGTTTAAGAACCGGCAGGATCTGCATTGGGGAGCAAGCAGCCCCCCCCCACCAGGAAGTCAGAAAGGCAACCAGGAGGGGTAAGTACGAGGGCTCTATCCCCGCTCTGTAGGAAATGCAGGGCGTATGGTTAAGTTTCCTGCTATGAAGCGGGTCCTGATTTATTGCATGAGAATTTCCATTGAGGTATAGTGGGGTTATGCCTACTATAGTGGGGCAGGGATCTCGCTGTAAGAGCATCCAGCAGAGAAGGGGTTTTAACATTGGAAACCCGGACAGATTTGTCACAATCGTGCCGTTTTCCTGCCTCCCCCCCCCCCCCCCCCCCCGCCGTGTGTGTGTGTATACACAGATGGAGATAAGCCGGCTGCTGCTGCAGCTTCGCATCTCGGCGCGAGCAGCCTCTGCGCTTGGGCCACGCGAAGAAGCGGGTGGGTTTTGCAAGGCAGGGGGGGCTGCTGTTTTCATGCTCCGGGGTGTTCGGATAATGTGGCTCTATTTCCCCCCCCCCGGTAATATCATGTCTCGGGGACCAGGAGCTTTCCGGGGGTGGGGGGATGGGTCCAATCTAAAATAACAACAAGCCGGCGGCAGCTGAGCAGTGTCAGACCCAAACCCGGGGTTCAAGGCGAACGTGCCGAGAGCCCTTCAGCTCCTGTGCAAAAGCAAGCGGCGGAGGCTGTAGGGCAGAAGAGGCAGTTTCCAGTGCCCTCTCTGGATTGGTGTGGGGAGGGGAGCGGGCACGTTAGCCGGAGTAAATGCCTCTAATGCAGTGCTATAAATTTCTTGCTTTTCAATGCCTGACTCGGGCTAGGGAAGCAATCCGAAGGGGCAGCGGGCAATTTGCAAAGCGGTTGAAATTGGCCAGGTGCAATTTCCCCTAGGACATACAAAAGCTTGCAACAGCGTCGGTGAATCTCTCTGGCTGCAGGCGACAGCGTTTTATTTTTATTTATGCCGGGGGGGGGGGGGGGAGCGGCACACGAAAAGCCCCCACAAGAATCGGGAGCAGGATTGTTATGATCCCTTCAAAGGGAAAGGAACCCCTGGAAGCCCCCGGCGTGTCTGCCTGGCTGGCTCTCAGCGTGTGCGATTAATCTCGCACAGCTGTTGTGCTCCATCCACTTGTGCTGAGATCTTGTTTACCTCGGTTTTCAAATATAGCTACTGCGCCATGCTCTTCCCTAAATAGGGCAAGGGCAGTTTACTTTGTAGTAGGAGACAAGCTGGGATTTCTGCTCTTCGGAAGGGGGTTACCCTGCTGCCCTCATGACTTCTTATGCCTCGGTCTCCCTCCCCCAAGAGGGAGCGGGGACCAGCCAAATACTGCCAAGCATAGGAAGACATAGTACTTTCTTCTGTACCCATTTTAACAATGGTTTCTTCCAACCCCCACAATCCTCTGAACACACACACACAATTTGACCTAAATGTTGAATAATTTTATACTCCCCCCTTCCCTCCTTTTTTATTTTCTTTTTTCCCCACCAATAAGTCTCCCCTTAGGTCTGAAATCAAACACCTGTACATTTAAAAAAGTGACATGCCCATTTTTCTCAAGCTGAACTGCAGTGTAATAATGGGGTTCTCGGCTTGCTTGGGATATCCCTGGTGCTTGTTTTTAGGGTTAACCTTCCCAAATGTACTTAAAAATTAAGGTGCGGCGGCGGGTGTGTGTGTGTGTGTGTCCTATAATGGCCTTTTTGTTGGGAGTGTGAGAAGATACATTTCTATTCACATCACCTTCTCCTGATATCTATTAGGGGAAAGGACAATTTTGCTGAGCCATTTTTGATTCTAAGAGGAGGTCCTAAAGACAGAGCAATGGAAGACGATGGGCAACCTCTAGCCAACATTTCCCTATTCAAAAGCTTTCATCTGTTCAGCTCTTGCCGCCTGCTGTTGAAGCCAAGGAGAGCAGGCACTGGCTGAAGGGGATCACTAAACCTCATAGGCCTTGTAGATAATTTGTAGGCTTGGTGCAATGGGGAAAGGAGAGGCAGCTTTCAAATGTGCTAACAGTCAGAGCAAGTTTCTAACTTTTCCCCATCTGCAGCTGGGTTACAGGCATTTTATTTGCCTTTCGTGCAGTTTTAGTAATGAAGGTAATTCGTGTTTGGTAACTCGTGTGCTTGCATGTAAACGTTGTGGTTATCTGTTGCAATAATTTTTGTTCTCTGGATAGAAGTAATGAGTTAGAAGGGGAGAGGGTATAAACCCTCTATTAAAGAATATATGGTTCAGGAAAGAGGAGGTGTCTTATTAGAGCTGTGACATGGGAGCTGGGACTCCTGATTTCTCTTCTCCGCTCTGCCACTAACTTGTAGTATGACCTGGGGCAAGTCCCTCAGCCTCCTTTTTTCTCAGTTTACCTATCTGTAAATAAATGAGTATAATATCTATTGCATAGAGGGGGGAGTTGAAGCTTAATTAATTGCTATTTATAAAGCACTTCAACTCCTCAGATAAAAGGTGAAATATATCCAAACAGAAATGTCTTAGTCTAATAACCCATGACCCCAATTAATATAGTTCCAAAATCAAAACCACCCAAACATGCTGTTCCAGAATTGGCACCAGCATGCATCACCAAGGGCTTGTGGTTAAGGTGCTGCACTAGAACTCGGAAGACGTGGGGTCACTCCTTGCCTCTGCCACAGGTTTCATTTGGGATCTTGTGCAAGTCACTTAATCTCTCTGCAGCTCAGTTCCCTATCTGCAAAATGGGGATAATGACATTTCCCTACCTCCCATTGGGTTTGCAAGGATACATTCATTTAAAGCTGGTGAGGTTCTCAGATACTAGGATTAAGGGGGCCACATATCTATCAAGAAATGGACATGCACAGCAGCACTTGCACTATTCAATATTCAGAATAAATAGCCCATTTATATGTAAAGCGACCATTTAGATTATGACAAGTAGTGTTCCCAATACTCGTATCCAGACTGGATAGTTCATTATGTTTTGGATCATGCAAACACTCTCCATTGGTGTTTGGAACAATCTTCAGAATTACACCACTAGGATATTACACTTGTATTCTAAGTATTGTGGAATGTTTGGGTCATGTGACCACTATACCATATCCCAGATGCTTTTCTGTTGGTGCTCACTGAGCATGTGCAAGAGCGTGAGCTGCCCAGTACGATCTGTATTCAAAATAATAGACTTGACTTGTTGTTGAGGAATGCTATACATGTCCTTTGCAGAGAAGTGAATCGTTTGAAATGCTGCTCCTGAATTTTCTTATCTTTGTATTTCAAAGGTTGTGGCATAAAAGCTGTAAGTAAATGACAGCTGCAGAGTTACACCAGGGATGAATTTGGCTGAGTATGTTTCTATATTTTTCTCTCTGAAACATGGGGTATTGAAGCTGGATGGAGATGGTCTGAGAGTCTATGGCAAATCCTACTGCTGGTTAAAAGGTGGTTTGCAAAGGGATTTGACTAGGCCATTGACTTCCCTTGTGTTTTGATTTGGTGTGTATCCATACAATTGGACAGCTTCAGAAAGTCCTGGCTGAATAAGACATCCTCCCTTTCCAAGGATAGGAAGTGTTATAATTGAGTGTGTCAGCACTTTTTAGAGAAACCACATTAAAATGAATTCTTCCTCCATAACAATATTTTAAAACCAAGGTTTATAAATATAAATTGATTATCTGTTATAGTCAGTCAAAATACAGCAATCCCCCATCCCAAAACTTCCTGAATAACCAAGGAACCTTTTTAAAAACACTTTTGCATGTTTGTACAATCAAAAATGGCTTTGCCTGCCAAATTTAATTTGTTTTTCAATCAGGCGGTAATATGATCTAATTCTGTATTAAAAATAAATAAAGGAAATTAAATTACACACGGGGGGAGGGGGATCTCAGATGTTAAAATGAAAAAACCTCTGAAGCCAGGAAATTCATAGTTGAGATACTCCGGCATCCAATCACCCCTCTATGTCCAGGTAATTTCACAGTTGTTACTGTTTGTATACCATTTATATTGCAGTAACTGCTAGAGGCATCATCCAGGTTGGGTGCCCATGTTGCTAAGTGCTATACAAACATGTAGTCAATGACAATGTGCATCCTGAAGAGCTTATGCATCTAATTCTGGTTGTTGGGCAGGGTGCGGGCGGCAGGTGGTTGGAGTTTAGTGGCTGGGATCAATGCTCTGAGATCGATTTAGGGGGTCTAGTGAAGACTCGCCAAATCGACAGCAGATCGCTCTCCAGTCGACCCCTGTACTCTACCCCCGACGAGAAGAGTAAGGTAAGTCAATGGGAGAGTTTCTCCCGTCGACCCCCTGCGGTGTAGACCCCGCAGTAACTCAACCTAAGGTACGTCGACTCCAGCTACGTTATTAAGGGAGATATTTGGCCCTTTAGAGCTTCCTTACAATAGTTTTTGCTAACAAAAAACCCCCAAACCCGCCAACTAGCACTTGGCATACTAACGATAAAGATCGCTTTTCCAGAGCAGCCAGAGCTTCCATTTTCATTTACTGGCAGATTATTTTAAGATAGCACAGTGATCTCGTTCCATTTGTTACTGTGGCACTAGTACCCTGCCAGGGGGCATAGATCAGCATTCACGTCACACTCCCTGTCAGTGCCGGGCCGGGAAAGCTAATGATCCAGCCAGCGGACCAAATTCGGTGATGAACCCTGGTCACGTGCCACATGAGGCACATTGCGCATGCGCTAAGTGGAGGAGTACCCAGCCTCCTTTCGTCTGAGCCTCCCAGCTACAAGTACAGGCAGAGACACGGTGGTCAAACAGCAATCAACAATATTAATATCTTGTACATCTAAAGGGCTTTTTATCCAGCAAGGTTTTGAAGAGCTTTAAGGCTAGATCCACAAAAGGATTTAGGCCCCTAAGTCCAACACTTAGGTGCCACTGAGATCATCAAAACCCCTAATCAGTTGCCACCTAATCCTGTAGGTTCCTAAAATCCCTTGGCATCTGAGTTTCTAACAGTGAGCATCTGTACAGCCACCTCAATTGTGGCACCTGGGTACCCATCTCATACCTAAACCCCAGCAGGATCCTCAAACTAGGCAACCCCCCCACCTATGAGG